CTAGCAAGTTTTATTCTTGTACCTGAAATTCCAACACTTTACGTTTTCTCTTTTGAGGAAGTCAAATTTCAAGAAAATATTTCTAGCAAGTTTTATTCTTGTACCTGAAATTCCAACCCTTGTTCTTAATTATCTCACATTGTGATAATAGAAAATCTGCAAGGAAAGGTGAAATGTTGTAAGAACCTGTATGTAAATTTGCTGTGGATGATCTAGCAATTAAAGCACTTTCTAGATATTTTGTGTATAGAAAACAATTTGAAGCATTGTTTAAAAGTGAATTTTAAAGAAAATATTCATAGATTTGTTCATAAATTTTTTATATTCTCATACATTGAAAAACAATGGAAGAGTCCTGTATGTGTGTGTATATATATATATATACACACACACACACACATATATATATATATATATATATATATATATATATATATATATATATATATATATATATATGGATGGATGTGCAACTGATGTAATGGTTAGCAAAAAATTGTTTTTTTTCCTTTAGTCACTTCACCCCAAGCAGGACAATAATGTCACTAAGACACAAGGGCTTACTGGAAGTGAGAGAAAATGAGATGACTTTAAAAGAAACTGGAAACACAATCCTAATCAGGAAACAAGGGATAAACCTCTGCTCATGTTTTAAAGGTGATAGGCAAACATATCTCTTACAACCGAAAATATGTTTCAGCTTTAAATAACCCAGAAAGGGTTGATAAACTGTCAAAAAACAATCAATCAATCAACCAACCAACACACAATGCATAAACAAAAAAAGAAAAACTCATAGCTTATAACTCTCATGAGACAGCAGTACAGACCCCTCAGACTGGGATAGTTCTGGCCAAGCCAGATTGTATTTAAGTCTATTCCAAGCAGGATTGGTAATTTTTATTGAATCACTTTACAAAGGGCCATGTAAGAACACAGAATAAAAATTTAGGAAAAAAGGATATAAATATTTTTATTGATTAAATAATTACTGTACAGTATTCATTGAAACAATAAAATCAAACAGCTACTGACTTCACCAATTAAATCACTAACAGGTTTTGTTTTTTAATGCCAATATAAAAATGTATTTAATTTTAGATACATTTTCAACATGGTAAAAAACTACTATAAAAACAAAAAAAGTTATAAAAGTAGTTACTTCCCTTTAGAACAAATTGGAATTATTTTTTTAATTCTAAAACATTGTTTTATCTCTTAAAGGAACAATTAAAAAATATTATCTCTCTTGGAATGCTAAAACTGTCAACTTTATTGGAATGGCTAAGGGGATTTTAAATTGATGAATATTAAAATTTAAAAAGAATTAAGGAATATTAATCACAGCTGAACAAACGAAAAATTATTGAACATTGCTGCCTTATCAGGTCTGGTGCTCTGCTTATATATTCTCGAGATTCTCAACAAAATCCAAGTCTGTAATGTTATCGGTCATAACCTGGCATCTTGACATCAATCATTTTCCCACAGAGGTGATATGGCTTCCATCTATCTTTTCTATAAATATTTTCATGGCAGTTGTTCTGATGAGAATTTCTCAATCACATGAATTTAACCATACTAGTAGATTAGTTTTTAGGTCTCATTATCTTACTGTTGAAACTGCTAGCTGTAACTGTAAGTTCTATTCTAATAATTTATTTTCACATACTACTGTAAGTCTTTACCTGTTTCTTTCTTCCCTGCTATCTACAATCATTTAAATACAACATTAATTGCCATCTTCTGTTTTGCCTGTTATTCTATGGACTTTTCTCTTCAACTCCCAGTAACCCTTTGCATTCTAATGGCATTATGGCCTTACTTGGGGTGAAATGATAAAGGATTGTAAAAAATAAACTATAATTTTGCTAGTTTTTTTTTAATGAAATTATTTAATTGATGCAATTTATTAAAATTGATGAAATAATAAGAAGTCATGAAATTTCGTTTTGAAATATTTAAAGAAAAATAAACTCAAAAACTTTCAATTATTCCTCAAATGAACAAAGGAGAACATTTTGTTTAAATAAGTCAGGAATAATAAAAATTAAATATAATTTATACTATTTATATTCAGACTATTGTCCTCATCTTTGTTGTTGTTATAATAACATTTTGGCTGATGTCCCTTCTGACCTTCATCAGGTGAATATTGATATGTGTAACCTACAGGGAATTCTGAACTGAACCCTTTATTCAATCTATGGGGGATAGACTGTTCTTGTTCCTCTGCCCATGTCTAGGGATATCTTGTCTAGTTCTTATTTTTAGTACTGCTCAGTTATTGCTTGCCTGTTTTCACTCAGTCCAAGTACACACTGCCCAACCCAGGGATTGAACTCACAACTACTGTTACCAAATTGTTGAACCAGTGCTTACCTAAATCGATATACACCTGATAAAAGCTGGAAGGTACAATGGCCAAAACATTGTGATGGCAACAAAGACGAGGACAATAGTCTGAATATAAATATTATGAATAATAATAACTCCTCATCCCAGAAATTCAGACAAAAAAGCCGAATATGTTGTGTGCTTGCAATGTGATAAGATGCACTGACAAATAGGATGCTCCCAAAGCATATGTTGGAGGAATAAAACTGAAAAAGCTTTTCTAGACTCAGATCCTGGAGGTCAGGGGAAGGAGAACTGTAAATTCCAAGTTTGGCTCCAGGTTCAATGCAAGTGTCTTGTGGGCCTCTGCCCACTAAATCTATGATACAGCCACCCCCACTCTACTACATTTCAGTTTTTCATAAGGTAGTATTCATATAAAATACAAATTTTATTGTAACCTAATTATGTACAATAATGGATCATATGCAATATAAGTGAACAATTCAACTATAAAAATTGAAAATAAATAAAATGTATCTAAATATAAATTAGAGACATGTCATAAGAGATCATTACATCTTAAATAAATGAACTATGTCAATTTTTAACATCAACTTGAGATTTTTCTTGTTAAAAAGTTGAATAATATAAACACATCCAACATTATGGATAAAAAATAGCAAATTTTATATAATGTTTTTTGAGGACTTAACATGAGCAAAACAAATTTATGAATTTGGACAAAAAAAAAAAAATAAAATAAAAAAAAAGACTCCCAGAATGATATCAAAATATGTGAAATTTTTCATCCTTTAATAGTCAATTGTACTTAGTTTAATTTTTAACACACACACATTATATATATATATATATATATATATATATATATAAATATAGATAAGATAGCAAGGATCACAAGCACTGCTTGGCACCCCCTAATCAGCAGTCAGGGGGTTTAGAAATAGTACAAACCAGCCCTGCTTGGTTTAAAGCCTGATGTTTGGATGCTGGGTAGTCTCAAGGGTCAGAATTGGTGGAAGAGAAGCAAGTACATTGTATAAGTGGAAAATATGACAATAAGAAAATAGCCTAATGGGAAAAAGATTATACATAAGAATCTAAATTAATGACAAAGACACTAAACTACTAAATAACATTTACTAAATAACATTACTAAACTACTAATAACATTTTAGCATAGAATGATGATTGTTAAAATGAGGAAAAGTATAAGTAACAAAAAATTCCAATAAAAGTTTATGTTCCTGAAAAGGTATTTTCAAAAAACCTTAACGCTATTACTGAAGCCAAAATTTAACACAAATAACTATAAAGATTAATTTGTTTTTTTAGCAACTGTATGAAAGGTTATTCAAAGCCAGAAAATAAATTTTTAGATTCTACAAATTCTTTGGAGATAATAGTGATTTACTTGTTGTCCTACTGTTTAATCCCTAGATGAGGAGAAGAAGAGGTGGAATTGTATCTTTCTCAAGTGTACTTATGTGTAAGTGAATATAACAAACCTAACAGGAATTGGAACTCAGCTCTGATTTTCAATTCCTAGCTGTTAAGGATTAAACTACCTTTACATCTAAGCTTATAGCGCCTGCCCAGCAGTCACCCATCTAGGTACTAACCAGGCTTGACATTGCTTAACTTTGGTAATTGTATGGTGTTTCAACAAAATATGGTCATAAGCCTCACTAGAAAGAATACCAAAAATTCTAAAGAATAAATACATTTTTAGTAGTCAGGGTAGATGCATGACTCAGAATTTATATCATGTTTTTGCATTAGCTGCAATGTTTGTGATTGGCTATGATGTTTTGTATTTATTTTGTAAACTGGATATGATGCTCAGAGTCCCTGCAGAGAGAGCAACTTCTTTTATTTTTAATATAGAAACAAAAAGGACACGTACCAGGAAGAAACAGTTAAAATTTCTAAGGGTACATTATGAGGAAAGATGTTTTCGAAAAATTTGATATTCACAGGACAGATTGAAATCAAGAGGGAGAGAAAGGAAAGCAAGGCATAACCTACCAAGCAAGCTTCAGTAAATGGCTGGCAGAGCAAGGTTTAGGAGAGATGACAAAAGGATTAAATTTATTAAGCTCTACAAAGTATAGGAAATTGTGAAGAGCCATGACTGCCAATGTCCTGAAGGTATATGGCATATAAAGAAAGAAGCATTCTCATCACACCAATAGGTTTTTGATGTGGAGTGAATCAGAGAGAGGTCTAATTTGAAGCAGAGTATAACACTATCAATACTTTTTTTTTTTACACGTTTCACATATTGATTGTTTTATCACTTAACAGCAATCATTTCAGAATCTACTCTAACAGTTATTTGTTGTGATCGGCTGACCTCTTAGCAACTATAAGATAGAGTGTTTTAAACAGAAGCAAAATGTTTGTTCCTATAAAGAGGACAGAAATAAATCCTAAAAGATAGTTTAATGCTTTTTTCCATCTTTTGTAGGAATCATTTCGTTAAATGAAATTTATTTCTATTTAGTATCCAATTCAGGCACATTATATATAGCTAGATTCCACTTATACAAGGGTAAGTCAAAAATTATCCACACACTTACCATATCATTAGACAAGAATGTGGATAATTTCTTACTTTTCATTGTAATTTTGATATGGCTTATGGCCACATCACATTGATACAGTGGTCCCCATACAATCACTGAAGTTAAGCAACGCCAAGCCTGGTCAGTACCTAGACGGTGACTGCTTGGGAACAGTAGGTGCTGTAAACTTGGATGTGTGGGTGGTGTAGTAGATTGTTGTGAAAGTGCAAATGATAAGTGGCCTTTCTCTTAGTTTTTTTATTTTCATCTGGGATTATATCACCCATCCACAACATGTTAAATTAATATTCATGCGCAATATTACATGAAAACATGAAATAAAATATGAACAGTTTTTGGTGTGAATGCAACAAGATATAACATATTTATTAAATGACTGATTTTTGATTAAACATACAATTGCTTACATAATTGATTCATATTATTCACCGAACATATAGATTATTAATGCAAAGAAAGAAATGATTTTAGGCTTATCTGTATGAAAAGACATCTTTCTTGTGAGTTCATTTAAAAAGATACATCTTTCTGGTCCAGAGAAAGAGAGACTTTGTATTTTCCTGCCAAAACTGTCTCTCTCGTGCATTATAGGAATTCAACTTCCCTTCTTTTATATAATCTAACAAAGTAAGGGATGCAACTCTTTTTTCTTATTCATGAATCACTACAAGATAACAGCTTGGAATTGTTAATCGAAGAGCCAAGTTCCAATTCAGCTCATTATATTCACTTATGCACAGCCTTCAGAATGGGATGGATCCACCTCTTCTCTCTCTAACTATGGGTTAATTAGTAAGATTTGTATCCCTAAAAACAATTATCTGAAAAAAAAAAAAATTCTTAAAATCTAAAAATAATTTCTGGCTTTAAATAACCTGTGAAGGGTTGAAGCCATACAAAGTGAATCAATCTATCAATCAATCAATCAGTAACTTATTCAAACTAAGCCAAGACGACAGACTTAGAAGAGAAGTCAGTGACAATAGCTTGTCTAACTGGCAAAATTCCTATTAAAAGAATTCATGGACAGTAGAGAATGCTTGACAGTGATATTTAATTGAATATATTGCACCACGCGTTTCAAAATAAAGTAAAGAGTCCAAAACTCTCAGGTAGTAAAACAAGATAATATATTAGACATTATATTTCCTGCATAGCCCCAAGAATTTCACTTCTTGCCTTTTCTTATGCTCATACAACACCACACAGTAACCCACTACCTTGAGTAGCTCTTGGGTCTTGTATTGGGTGAACATTCACTTCTTGCCTTTTCTTATGCTCATACAACACCACACAGTAACCCACTATCTTGAAGCTTGTATTGAGTGAATATTAGTAAAAAAAAAATATAAGTATGCATTAGTACTGATGTTTAAAACAAAGCAAAAACTTATCGAATGTTAAACATAAGTAGATTAAGTGAGAGACTATTAGGTTACATTAGGATAATGGATCTGACATAGAAAATAACAAATTAAATTCAAAGTAAAAATCAGAACCCACTTTTGCCCAAAAATAAAAGAAAAAGGGAGGGAACTCTGAGAGATATTTTGACTTTTATCTTTCATTTCCAAGAAGAATGAGACAATAGTTAAACTTACAATTTTCCACAAAGCAAATGAGAATCTAATAATGACAGTAGACAACAGGAGAATAGTGTAAAGACAATGCAGATTGCTTTGAGAAACAAAAAATAGTTGTAAAATAGAGAAAAGGTGTAATTTACATTCATTAATAAAGCTATCATCAGATGATGACTTATTTCATTAATCTGTAATGAGTTACTGACCAAAAAGCATAAAAGACATTGAAAACACCAGAACAAGTATATTTGAGAAATTCTATGACATGTTATACATAGTAGTCATACAGGTAATTAAATAGGACCCTAGCAAGTATATTAGAATATAAATTTAAAATAATAAAGTTAATCAATGTATTACCTTGTAGTAATATACAATTAACGGCCAGATTATTACATTATGTAATTTCTCATACTTTATTGATAATTTTGAATTCATTACATTAAAAGGACAACAAAGAAATGAAAATCTTTTGGGGCTTTCTTAATAATTAAACTGAAATAATTAATAGTCCCAAATACAGACTCAGAAATTTGTAAGACCAGTAAAAGACAGGAGTGAGAAAGGGATTAGCAATGCAATGTGTGTTTAAAGCAACCTGGGGATCACCAATATAACACAGAAGAAAATAGCTTCAAACATCATGTTATGTCCAAGGTCTAACAATATAGCCATCTGAACTGTTGACTTTTTTTAATAAAAAAAAGAATTGATTAAAAAACAATATGAATGAATATTAGAAAAGTGAAAGTTATACTGCACAAGTCTATCAAAATAATTTATATAAATAAACTCTTGTTCTTCAAGAAAACAGGTAAATTTTAAATCTGCCTTTTACTTGAAGAGACTATGAATGCCAAAATACATACTTAGAGGCTATGCATGACAAAATACGTACAAAAAGTCTATAAATAAAAAAAAATACATTTTAAGAGGATATAATGAGAAAGTATATACTTAGATGCTATCAATGATCAAATACATACTAAAAGACTATAAATGATAAAATACTTACTAAGAGGCTATACATGACAAAATATATACTAAGAGGATATTTAAATTGTATCTTTTTTCTAAGTATGCTTTTTGTTACAATTTTCCTTAAAACTATGTTGTTGCTCACATGTTCAGTTCATGGAATTCTCAGCATCCTTCTGTAAAATCACTTTTCTGTATCCTTCTATAGAACTAATTGTCAGTTGCCTCAAATCTCTTCTTCATACATTCACTGCCATATAGGCCTGATATTGCATAAAAGTTCAGTACTCTTTTCTTTGTTTCCAATGTAATATTCCTGTTTTTTAATACTTTGCTTAGATTTTGGAAGGCATCTTTCACTATCCCAGTGCACCTTCGGATTTCAGTGTCACATTTTCTGTCCTTGTAGGAGTCCTTGCAGTCTCCTTTCTATGCCTACTATCAACACTTGATCATTTGCATATCTTATGTTGTTGAGATTGTGGCTACTAATAAAGAATCCTGGTAGGACTTTGAATTCTCTCAGGATAACCTCAATTTACTGAGTCTATTTTGTTTATCAATTTGTGTTAGTTTGTTTGAGTTCAAACATTTCAAACAAAAATATTACCTGAGAAACATGTTTAACATCACAATAATTTATCTTTTATTTTACTACATTGTGAACATTAGGTTTGTTTATATTCATACAGACTTTGAGTGGGTATTTGAAGCAAATGTCTATTAGAAGATAAAGGTTAATTCTAAGTTGTTAGCATCATAAATAGCTAAACTGTTTACAAATTGGTAAAAACTAAAAAAAAAAAAAAAAAAAAAGTCCTATTGGAGATACTAAATGGTTTCGCTTACTAAAACTCCAGCTGGAAGGAAACATATTCTTACATCAGTTGTCATGAGTTCACACTTAGTACCTGACCATTTAATCTTATGACAGAAATACAAACATTCCCTTAACCTTTGACAACCAATATGAACTGTTTTTGATGTAGTGTAATCGTTAGCAATCTTGTCTTGCTTGATCAATTATTAATGAGTAATAAGTTTGATTCTCACTAGGAGCTCCATACTTTCAGCCTTGTGCCACATCTAGTCTGCGCTTAGTAAATTGCTAATATGGACAGTTTTGTTTGTAATGAACATTTTATATACATATATGCAGAAATTATATATATGACATGCATAAATAAGCCAAGCTCTGGTAGATTTTTAAAAATATTGACACTATATATAGAATATACTGCACTATTAAAACAAAAATCTAGCTGCATGCAGTATAGTTAACTTCTGTCAGCTCAAATAGAAGATTAATAACCTTATAAATGGCAACATGCTTTAATATTTAAAATAGCAGATGTGAATTAGCAGTTGGGAAAAGCAGGTGAAAAAGTAAAATGCACTTTTATTTAGCTTTAAAATCTTATTCAGCAGTTTCATGTAATCTTACACTTGGATTTTGATGAATTATATATTCCTGTATTTTCTGATAATTTGTTAAGATAAATTAATTTATGAAAGATTATTACAAGCGATAACCAGTGTTAAAATCATCATGGCAGTTATTATGAACAAGGTTAAGCAATATTTTTCTACTCTTTCTGAAATAATGATAAAAAGGTAAACTACAATCTTACCTATTAAACTAAGAATTTACTAGTCTATATTTCTGAGATGTGGTATTCTGTTTACACTATTTACATTGTTCGAACTGTTGTCCTCATCTTTGTTGTCATATTCACAACATTTCAGCAATTGTACGTTCCAGCTTTCTTTGAAATTACAATCACCTGCAGAAGGCCGGAGTGTACAAGGGTCAAAACATTGTGATGAGGACAACAGTCCAAACAACGTAAATAGTGTAAAAGTTTACTAATTGGCCAAAATCAGTAGTTGTTCTTTTTGCCATAGGATGGCATTAGGATTGTTTAGTCTTAGCTAACTTCTACCAAAAAGATTTCTTTTTACTGTATTATGATAGCTGTGACATCAGAATGCATTCTGTTACTTAATATAAGCCCTCCTTTGTGTCAGTGGATGCTGGACAATCTCATCTCAGATGAAGAAGAAACTTGATGCAACAGAAATGTGTTTCTACAGAAGGATGCTGAGAATACCATGGGCTGAACAACAATAAAGTTTGAGAAAAAAACAGAAACAAAAAGGACACTTATAATTAACATCAGAAAGAGATAGTTGAAATTTCTAAGGCACATAATGAGGAAAGAGGGCTTGGAAAATTTAATACCCATAGGACATATTGAAGGTAATTGGGATAGAAGAAAGCAGTGTATAACCTACCTAACAGGATTGTGTAAATGAGTTGGCAGAACAGGGATTAGGAGAGATAGCAACAGCCAAACCTTACTAAGAGCTACAAAGAGTAAGAAGTTGTGGAGAGCCATGATCCCACATGTCCTGAAGAGACACATCCCATAGAAGAAGTAGGTGGAAGAGAGCTTTAGCAAATGACAGAACAGGGATTAGGAAAGACAGAAAACAGCCAAACCTTACTCAGAGCTACAAAGAGCTGGGAAGTAGTGAAAGGCCATGATCGCCAAGAAGGTACATAGCACTTTTGGATTATTGTTTACTACATAACTATGTTTT